CCGGGTTAGTCCTTTCTTCCACGGCGGGAGCTTCGGGAGGATGCAGGTGCTCCGCCATGAAGTGCGAACCAGGTGAGCTCCCTCCCCGCCCTTTTTTTTCCTTTTTCCCGGACATCTTGTCCCTGCCAGCACAGTCCGGACAGTCCGGTGTCCGGTGGTGTTCAGGGTCCGGTGATGTCCGGACTGGTCCAGACACAGGTCCGGAAAACAGTCCGGAAGTGTCCAGTGTCCGGGTCCGCGGTTACCATGGTCTATACCTGAACCGGAAGCTTGGCAGATTCTCCTTCACCTTCTACAGGAGGAATATCAAGCGGATTGGAACAAAGCGGCGAAGCTCATAAAATCAGACCCCACGAAGCAACGGGAAATTGTCGACAAGTTTAAAAAAGAACGACTGGGAGAAGGAAAGCTAGGAGACATTGAAGGCAATACACCATGGTTAGCCTGGAGACATGTAAACTTGGGCAGCGGGGATCGTCTTCCAAGACCCGCTAAACAATTTAGGAGTTATATTGACTCTTCATGTTTGTGGACAACAGTTTTTATAATGGTTCATTGTTCTTCTTGTCATCAGCAAAATTGTTATTGATGTGTTTTGATTCGGCGTACTGGTCGTGGTATTTTTGGCCCTTTCATTTTATCACTTCAGAAGTTCAGATGAATGCCTTCGGTTTGGATTTGGGGCAACGGTGGTGGTCTTTTTTGCCTGTCCTTTCGAACGACTTTTTTCTGAATCCCATGTTTTCTTGCAGGTAGGGTCTGGAAAGAGCACGCTTCTTGCTGCCGTGATGGGGGAGGTGCACACTCGTAAAGGCTACGTCAGAAAGAACTGCAAGACAATTTCATATGCAGCACAGAAGGTGGGTGCCTGCCACTGGGAGGAATTTTCTTCCCCCTTCCTCCTCCTCCTCCCCGCAGACACTGCGTGTTTTGAATTTTCACCACAACAGCCCCTATTGCACCCAGATGAGTAGAACCAAAATCAAAGCAGCTTGAGTCCTATTGCAGACAACGAAAACACTGGAGACAAACCGACAATGAAACAGCTACCTTTATAGCAAGCAACACGGAGCAAATAGAAGCGTTTAAATCCCTTTCTTAAGTGTGTTCACTTCGTCTTTTTTGGGTACCCATTTCATTTGTCCTTGCAACTCCCCCTTTACTGTGCCTCTCATGTACAAGGCTCGCCACGCTGATTGTGGTTGAGCTCGTGTTGCCCACATCCCTGTGTGCCATAACGGCCCACTTGCACATTATGAAAGGAGGCATAGTAAAGGCGGAGGTATATTCCTGTTCATTTGTCTTCAGATCTTCAGCTTATATTTTGTCTGTTCTCTTAATGATGCTCGTCTGTATGCATCTGCAAGTAGTACAGAAGAGGAGGGAGGAAGGAAATAAGATGTTTCTAAATACTCATCCGTATGCATTTACTAGTAGCACAGAAGAGGAGGGATGTGGCATACACTGTACCGCACGGGCCCTACCGGGCCCGACCAGGTAGGACTGGGTGTTGGTTAGGGGGTAGTTAGGCCCAGTTAGGCCTTGTGTCATTTCGGCCCAGTTTAGGGCCCGTAGGTCCGTAGGTCTGTAGGCCATGTTTTGAGAAGGCCCTGGCGCATGTTTTGGCCCCAGACTTTGGTTAGAGGCCCAGTAGGCGCCAGGCCATTGAGGCCCTTCCCAAAATTCGAAACGAGTTTGAATTTGGGCACCAAGTTAGGCGCCAGGTTTTGGGGGCCCGATACTGGCGGCGTTCGGCACTGGTGAGAGCAGCCTCCCAGTCGGACCAGCGCTATATATAGCTGGTCCGCCTAGGAGGAGGGAGGATTCTTCAGGCACTAGCTTAGTCGATGATAGGTAGTACCGTAGTCTTCCAGCGCTGGGCGCTCCGTTAGGACTTCAGCCACGAGTGAGCGCAGCAGCCCTGCTGCAGTGGAGGTTGAGGGGAGACCAGCTATGGTGGAGGCCAGGGGGACTTACCTGACGACTTACCTGTGATGCCATCGCTCCAGCTTTGTCTTTGGTCGGTCCGTACCTGCATCAAGGCGAGAGGTAGAGAGGGAGAGAGAGAGAGGGAGAGAGGGGGAGAAAGAGAGAGAAAGAGAGAATTTCTTCTCTTCTTCCTCTTCTTCCTCCAGTCCATCGCCCT